ACACTCAGAAGCAGGGCCGGGTGGTGGTTTCTGGGGCTGTGCGCAGGGAGTCGGGGACTTGTGAGTCACAGGGTCAGAAGTGTTGTGTAAGAGGAGCGGGCCCAGAGATCTGTCGCACACAACGCCGTACTGTACAGTTCAACCTTGCTGGGAAGATGAGTCTCAGATTGTTGTCACACTCATAGCGATGAAGTAGTGAAAAGCAGAAAGAAACATTTGGAGATGATAAATATGTTTGTGGTGATGGTTTTCTGGGTGTGCCCTTCCACCCAAACTCATCAAGTTGTAAGCATTAAGTATGTGCAGCTCTGAGTATTTCAGTCATACCTCTGTACAGTGCTTTTCTTTTTTTTTTTTTTTTCGGGTTTTTTTCCGGTACCGGGAACCGAACTCACGACCTTGCGCTTGCCAGGCAGGTGCTTATGCCGCTGAGCTACACACCCAGCTCCCCTTAGGGAGTTGTACACACAGCGATGTTCACAGAACGCTGTGCACAAAGTTCTGGGCCCCTGTGCACAGGAGGCCTGCCTTGTGTGCTTGGACAGCAGGTTAGGAACCTGCGTCTTGCTTATCTCCGAGCCCCTGTCCAGCTGGTGTGTTCTTCACTACATGACTCTGGGGAGCAGAGCTGAGAACAGCCTCCTTCTCCTTGTGGTCTTTGCTTGACTCACCTGGTGAGAGGCCGGAGAAGAGAGGCGATTGATGCCATTGACCTCCTGAGGGTCTTAGGAGAAGCCACCGGGGGCATGCTGACGTGTACTGGCAGCTGTGAACGACCCCACCCATCATTTCTGCGCCTACTTTGTGCTCCAGGAAGGTGCATGGTGGAAAATCAGGGTGCTTAATGGATTCTCTGGGTTCCTGGAAAGTTGCAAACAGATCAGCTTTTTGAAAATCCAATTTCTGCAACATCTGGTCATGGCTTCGTTTGGAGGTGCCCAGCCGCGAATCCCGACGGCAGCAGATGCTTGGCGGCAGAGCGGTGGCCCCTGCCCATTAGAATGCCAGTCTGCACCTGGCACGTCTGCTGAAGCGGAGGCTCTGGGAGAGGCGGGAGGGGCATCGCCCTCCACCCTGCAGCTTGGGTGAAACATGGACTGGGCCAGCAGAGACCTGATATTCCTGTGTATTTTTTCTCTGGCGGGGACAAGTTACCTAACGACTCCACACCTCACCTTCCTAATCTGTACCGTGAGGACAGTTCCCGAGTCCGCTTCCTAACTTGTGAGCGTTAACGTGTTGGGGAGGGTATCAGAATTTAGCTCAGGGAAGTTGCTCCAGGAGTGGCAGCTGTTGGTGACATTGTGTTGTCCCTGTTGTCGTCGGTCATGACCATGGTCAGAAACGGCACTCTGCACACGGACTGGGCTTCACCCAGGTGGCTAAAATGGGCCCCTTTGTGCTCTTTTTCTGAGCATCTGCCCACATAGAATCATCTGCCCTCAGTTTTAGAATTTGGAGGTCATGTAGAACTGCAGGCCTGTGACTCGCTCCATCTTGTCTGAGACCTTGGCATAGATTCTGTATCCAGCTCAGAGTTTTCATATCCCACAGGGATCTCTGCCCCCAGCCTCCACCCAGGCCTCTGTCCCCAGTGGGTGCTGCACTGCAAAAGTCTGGTTACAGTGACTCAGTGTTGACCCACAGACCTCCCCCGACCAGGACTAACCTCTGACATTGATGGTGCCGGTCATGAGTGCAGTGCTGATAGTGACTTGCACATCAGTCATGTTGGCAATGCTGCAGGCATGGTCTTTACTCCGTGCCACAGATGAGGAAACTGAGGCATGGTCAACCAGCTGCCCAAGGTCACTCAGCTCAAAGGTGACAAGGCGGAGATTCTAGCCAGTGTCCCTGGCTCCAGGATTCCTGCTACCCACCGGGTGAGTCCACTGCTTGCTGGGACTCTGAGAGCTTTTATCCCTCAGGACCGAGAGGAGCCACTGGAAAATGACAAGGCAGGGATGTGGGCATTGGATAAAGGACAGCGCTCCCTGTGACTCCAGGGCTGTGTGAGTGGGGACTCCACATTGCGGAGGAGGTGCAGCCTGAGCTGTGTATTTTGTCTTTTCATCTTTTTTTTTTTTAAACACGAAGGCAGTTTAGTTGAATATATGAATGTCCTCACTTCCTCTTTCTCACCTGTGGAGTTCACCTGAGCTGAGAGTTTGAAAGGTGTCTCTGAACTTTGCACGCCCATGTGAACAAATGCATGTGGGCTGGAGATGTAGCTCGATGGTAGGGCCGTGAGGCCCTGGGTTCAACCTCCAGCAGTGCAACAGCGGAAATCACAACAAAACATATATTCAGGGTGGCATGCCGAGGAGCGTTTGACAGCTCTTGGTGACGGCACGCAGATGTCTGTGGTGTCAGTGTTTTCACAGCCGTGCAGCACGCAATCTCAGAGTGTGCAGTTGGGAAGAAACATGTATGAGCAACTAAGATGTGGTATTTCCACCGCACAGGTACAGTAGACACAGTACCCTCCAGAGCACTTTGGCAAGCAGCTTTCCGTTACTGTAACGAAATACCTGAGATAATCAACTTTATAAGAGGAGGAGTTTATTTTTGCTTTCAGTTTCAGAGGGGACGGTTTAGATTCAAACTATAGCAGCGTGGATAACAGTGAAGTAGTTGGGAAATGGTGAGTTTTGAGTATTATCTTAAAAAATGTATAATCCACTGAATCATAGTTTTATATCATTCAGTTATTATAATAATGGCTATGTATAGTAACTCATGCACACAGTTCCAGAAAATTTAACAGTTGGCCCCTATTAGTCAGTCCGAGCCAGCTCCAGCATACTACTCCTTTCTGTTTTACTAAAATATTTGCACCATACAATATTTTTTTAAACTTGTTTTTGATCCAAAAGGCTCTTCAGGCCGTCACTTCTTCCTTCGGCCAGTGTTTACTGTGTGTCATTCACTGTGTTAGGAATAGGGTCACCAGCATGATGGGGGAACTGTGTGCTTAGGGTCTGATCAGGAAAGGCTTATTCTCGGGAGGTGACATAATCTGAGACCCAAGAAATCAAAAGGGACCCCAGGCACCCAAAAGTTAGTGGGGAAAAGTTGACAAAGCATGCGTACACGTGGGCGCCCTTCACTGTAAACTCGACAACCGTGCAGAACAGTGCTCGTGGCCATGGTTCTTGGGAGCCTCCTCCAGGAGTGACAGTAAGAAGGCTGCCCACCGGCTCTCCTTGGACGTGGCTGCCCTTGGGGAGGACAGGAAGGAGGATGAGCTGGAGGCTGAGAGCATCGTCAGCTGCATCTTGGAATTTTCTTGAGGCCAAAGGAGAGAAAGCTCTGCGATAAATATAACCGATGTGAACTTCTCTTGGCTCCGGCGGATGGGTACAGGGTTTGTCAGCTGTGTTACTCTCTGTCACTTCTGAATGCTGGAAGCACTTTGTGATTGTTTTTTAAGAATAGAGAAGAGAGGCCTGGGCATGGGACTGACGCGGATTCAAGGTTAGCTCCCGGAGCACTGTGGCTGCAGGAGAGAACAGGGGCGGAGACAAGCCTAAGGCCGGTGGCTTGGATCGGCACGGTTAGGGTCTGCAGACCTTGAAGGCTGTGACCGGAAGTATGAATTTTGTCATAAGTGTGAGTTTAAACTCTTGAGCTTGTGAGTGATGTGGTCTTGGGCAGAACTGACAGAGAGCTGAGAATGGCAGCAGAGGGTTGGCGAGGAGTCCGGGCCTGTGGGGGGCTGACTAGCTTGTGTGCCCACACTTCCTCGTGATACCTCCCTCCGTCCTGCTGCTGGAAGAGGAAGGAGCGGGGGACGGGTCATGATGAAACCAGAATGAATGAACGAAAATGATGGATCTGAAAAAGAACCAGCTCACAATTGTGGGAATGAAAATTTCTCACTGGATGGAAGGCATTCATTTAAAAGGGAAGCAAATGAGGAAAGGGAGAATCTGATAGAGAACTAGTGAATTGGAAGAGTGTCCTGAGAAACGTTTCTCGAGACCACCCAGGGAGATAAAGAGAGCGAAATACGCTACTCCCACATGTGTTGAATAGAAATTCTACCAGGACAGACTGGACAAAGTGGCTGAGGAACTGCACTAAAAACATAATGGGTGAGAATCTTTAGAATCGAAAAAGAGACGCAAGTCTCCAGTTTGAAAGTGCTCATCAAGAAGAGAATTTTATAAAATAAATCTCACATTCAAAACCGCAGAAAGTCATGAGTAGAGAAAGGCATCAAATTTATTGGCGTGGTGCCTGTCTCTAATCCCAGCACTGGGGAGGCTGAGGCCAGAGGATCATGAGTTCAAGGCCAGCCTGGGCTACGCAGCAAGAGGAGGCCAGCCTGTCGACAGAGTGAGATTGTCTCCAAGAAAAAAGACCCACCAAAGCATTTACCACAGACAGATTACCTGGAAAAGACCAATTTCAGACTTGCAGCGGGTTGCTTATGACTCTAGGGCTTTTTGTCAGTCTTGAAAGTTCACTGAAAGGAAAAAAAAAACAGCTTAGAATTCCATGCCTTGATATTCAAGAGACATGGCAGAATAAGGACATTTTCGCAGAAGTGACCCTGCCCCAAACCCTTGAATATTTAGGGCTGGGGAGAGGCAGGACCTCCCAAGTCAGAAGTCATCTGGTGGTGGCCAGTGTCTCCCATAGCGGTACAGAGAATGGGCTGGATTCTGCTTTAGTTGTCACAACACAGGCTGTTGGAGCGGTGCTCATTGGCCATGTGGTTGGGTTTTCCGTCAAGACAGCTGAGGGAGATTGCCTGTGTCCTCCTGTCTCCCATGGATTCAGGACACCTTGGAGAGCTTTATATTTTCCAGTCACCTTGGGGGATGGCAGTGGGCAGAAGGTGGGTGGCAAGGACTCCCCGTGCCAGCTTGGGTTTCGGTCCTTTGGCAGAGGAAAGGAGATGGGCAGTGGTGGGACCAAGCCCAGGGCCCTGTGCCTGGGGATACGAGAGCCCCTTCGAGAATGGCCTGCTGTAGCCTGTCTCTGTCTTCCAGATTGTGGACAAGAACAACCGCTACAAATCCATCGATGGGTCGGACGAGACCAAGGCCAACTGGATGAGGTGAGTCCTGCCCCCTGCTGGTGTCCAGGGAGCTTTGAAGGTCCCGGAGAGAGGCCATGTTGGGCCTGTGGGGTCTCCACGGAGGCGGTGGCTGTTTGCATAGTTTGGGGCACATCCAGCTTTGGGGGACCCTCCTGTTCCCCAGGCTTCCATGAGGGGTTTCTAGTAGCTGCACCCTTGCCAGTGCCTCCAGACGACCCAGAACCATGCGCCTGGATGGGGTGGAGAGCACCCTGCTTGGCCCCTGTCGGGGCAGTCACCCTGGGGCAGTCTTGTCAGTAGCTTACTGTGGGACAGGAGGCTTCTGGAAGTCTCCAGCTCCGATCTGGACTGTGCCAGGCTTGGGGGCTTTCAAAAGCAGGTGTGCCCTGGTCCAGCCTGTGGGACAGGAGTTTGAGCTAGGAAGGGCCTTCAAGGCCAGCCAGAGAGACAGGAGGTGGACCGCAGGTCGCTGGCCAGTGCAGTGTGTCAGTGGGGTGAGAGGTCACACTGCTCTGTCACCCCTCCTCAGTGGCTTAGCTCTGGGACCAGGGGTGGGAAGTGGGGTGCAGACCTGGGCATGGGGGAGCCTTGGTGGCTGCAGCAGGGGCCCCATTGATGTCTGTGCAGCACCCTTGGCTGCGGATGGGGATGCAGGTCCTAGGTGGGAACCGAGATGTGCGCTAGGGGACATCTGTGTTTCACCTCCGAGTTTCCCAGCAGTGAGAGGTGGGTTGGAGGAGGGGAGCTGGGATGAAGTCCCTGCCCGCCTGAGCCCCATCTAGGAGGCCTGGGTGCCGAGCTGCAGTGTCCCCTCCCAGAGCACTTTGGGCTCACCTCTCACCTGGTGGGACGGCTGTTCTCACTGCCGCTGAAAAGGCTTGGGAGCTGGGACATGGCGGGGCGCATGACACACTTTCACCTAGCAGGGCAGAGCCAAGCTCCTACCCTTGACCTTCCACACGGCTGGCTCAGCCCCTACCCTGAATATGCCCTAAGAAGGTGGGTGACACTCTCGGTTGCCTGCTTCTCCCCGACCCCTGAGTGTGGGACAGCTCAGCGATGCCCTTCCTCCCCATGACCTCTGTGACCCTAGGCCGGGCACTGGGGTAGCCTTTCTAGATCCCCCCCAGCACCCCCTAAGTGACTTTTTCCAATGGGGCTGTGGCACAGAGGCAGAGACAGTGCGCAGGGGATGGGATGGAGGAGGAGGGGCCTTGGCATGGGCCTCCAAAGGGGCACGAGGGCCACTGGTGGGTGGCATGGACCAGCCCTCTGGGCTCTCTGCGGGCCACTCTGGTCTGGCTCTGGCAACCAGGAGGGTGTCTGTGATGGGACCTGGCATCGGGCCAGTCCGCGGCCAGTCGCTTTCAAGGCTCTAGGACCTTTGGCTTGTGACTCTGAGCCCATTCTACTTCCTGCTTTCTACCTCTGAGCTTTCGCCTGGGGACAAGCCTTTCCCATGGCCCCAAGAGGGAGCGCCCCATCTGGACGAGGTGGCCACCACCACCTGGCACCCCAGAACAGGCAAGGTCTTGCCCAGTGTTACGTAGTCAGGGGCAGAACAAGGGCTGGAGCCTGCGGCTCTCTTCAGAACAGTTCCCTCTGTGCATGGGACAAGCAGAGCACAGGTCCCTGGGTGATGCCTCACGCTAGCGTGGGCTCCATCCTGCTCCTGCTCCCAAGCCCGTCCTGGGAGGTCCCAGCTGGCAGCCCCCAGCTCAGGCCGACTCAAGGAGCAGGTGGGCGTGGGCGTGTGTATGGCTTCCATTCCGGCAGCTCTTGCAAAAGGACAGGCACTTAGTTTCGACAGAGTAAGCGGTGGGCCAGGAAGGCACGGGGCACTCACGGTTTGAATGTTGGCCAGTGGCCGCCCTAGGCTCGGTGCTCTATTTTATGTCCGCAGGGGCATTTGGCAGTGCTTTGGCATGTGATTGTTGATCACAGTTTTATGGGCAGATGCTACTGGTTTGCACCAGGTTCAAACCAAGGACGCCAGGAAGAGTTCTCTGTCGCGGGCCGCTCCTTAACCCCCAAGGAATTTTTCAGTTGAGAAAAACACATCAAAACTTTGGACAGCCCTGGGAGGTGGCCCTGAAGGGTTCCCTCTCATGTTCTAGACCTGGTGGCCCCGAGGGACTCAGCCTAGTTGGTTTGCGTGAAGACCCCTGTCCCTACCAGTGCTTTGGACGGGGTGCCGGACCCCAGCCCTCCTCTCCCAACTCATGTTCTGCAGGGAGCTTGTGGTGTCGCTGTCCTGGGTGGTTTGCAGGCACAGAATGGGCTCTGGGATCCTGCTGCGCCCTACTGACTCTCGGGTGGACTTTTTGAACCTTGTGGCGCTAATTAAAGGCTGGACAGCGCCACAGCGTGCCCCTTGCCCCGTGCCCCGGCTGCTTGGTGGAGATGGAAGCAATAGATGCTTGTGGGCTCCTCTAATCGCACCAGAAAGTCAGAGCAGCCCCCAGAGCAGCGGTAAGCGGAGCTCCTGCGGGAGGGGAGCCTGTTTTCGTGCGCAGACCCAGAGGTGGGAACTTGGAGGGCAGGAGGGAGGGAAGTGAGCACGAGAGATAGCATACACCTTGTGTGATCATACACTAAGCATGGGCGCCACCTGCGATGCCAGCGGTCACCAGCCAGGGTGGACAGCATCCCTGGTTAAGTGTTCTCCTCCAAGCCTTTCACTTGGCTGCAGGGCTCAGCGTGGATGTCGCTTTGTAGACGCAGTGCTCTAACCCTGCCCTCAGTAAGGGCTCCTTTCCTCTTCAGAGCTCTTGTACGCATGACAAGAGAGGCTGGTGTGGTTGTTATTCCCATTCTGCATGAGGAGTGGCAGGTGCGAAGGTTGAGTGAACGTGAGCTGCCCCAGCACTCCTGACTAGTACGGGGGAAGGCAGGGTCTGCACTGCGGCGCTGGACTCGAGTCCAGGGCCCCCACCTGCCTCATGTGCGTCTTCTCCAAGGACTAGTGGAAGGGACCTCTGAGCAGGAGGAGGGTGCAGTGGGGCCAGGTCCCTGACCCAGGTGCCTGCTGGCTCCCCAGCTGGGGGCGCAGATAGGAAGGAGGAGGACCACCTGCGGTGACGGTCATTTACCCAATTGTGCTTTGTGGGATATTCAACCCAAGGAATGTGGTGCCCCTGGCCGAGCGTAAGAGGAAGCCCAAGTTCTCCAAGGAGGAGCTGGACATTCTGGTCACGGAGGTGACCCGCCATGAAGCGGTTCTCTTTGGGAGGGAGACCATGCGGCTGTCCCATGCCGCCAGGGACAAGATTTGGGAAGGCATAGCTCGGAAAATCACCTCCATCAGCCAGGTCCCCCGCTCCGTCAAGGACATTAAGCACCGGTGGGATGACATGAAGCGGAGGACCAAGGACAAGCTGGCCTTCATGCAGCAGTCGCTGTCGGGCCCTGGGGGCGGGGGCCGGGCGCCCGCCATCGTGCTCACCGCCCACGAGAGAGCCATCGAGTCGGCGCTGCTCATGGCCCGCTCCGGGCACGGCTTTCCCGGGGCCGAGCTGGATGGCACCGGCACCGACAGCCCATCGACCAGCTGTGAGTACCGCCTACCTGGGCCCCGCCAGCTCGGCCAGGGCTGGGGGGCTTCTCTCGAGAGTCCCCTCTCCTCTGCTCTCCTGTCCTGCTCTAGCCTGCTCACTCCTCCCACCCCCACATCTGTCCTGTCTCCCCCTTTCCTTGTGCCTTTCTTCTAGAGAATTCACTGGGCATCTGTGTGCCAGGGTCAGGCAAGAAAGCTGTGTATAAAATATAGAAAGGGTGATAGAAATATGCAGTGGGTATTTAACTTTAAAAATGTATTACAGTCAAAGACGCATGGCCATTCATCCCCCTCAAAATCCTTCTCCTCACTCCAGACATATTTATCCCACCATTCTTGCTACTTTCTGAAGCAGTTTTGGAAGTCCTCCTTCGTGAGGGTCTTTATAAGGAGTGATAAAAAATCCAGTGAATGTGCTGCTGAGGGTCATCCAGCAGAAAGGGAAGCTGGTAAAAACATGACACTGTGTCCTCATCTACCATACTCACTGGCTCCGGGACTGTGAGACTTCTGCTAAATCTTCCCAAAAGTCAAAATGGCCAAGACACGTAAACGTCTTTAATCAATTCAGGACATCAGGGTGGCCACAGAAATACAACGAAAGACACAAAACAGGACTTCTGGGACTGCTTCAGAAAGCAGCAAGAGAATGGGATCAGTGTATTCGAGGTGAGGGGAAGGATTTTGAAGCAGTGTATCTTTTACTATAAGAATTTTAATTTAAACCTTTCCTGTAATGTTGGACCATACCTGCATATATGGGTCCAGCTCTTGCGGACTTCTGGATTTGTGGGAATAAACAAACATAATTAAGTAATTGCAGCAGTGAATGCATAAGGAAGGCATGAAGCTGACCGAGTCTAGTAAGTACTGTCTTCCAAGCCTGAGAGCTATGCAGTTACAGGGCGGCCCTGGGTCTGGCACTGTGCAGACGGTGTGACCTTGACATTCAGAACAGCCCTTTGCACTGGCGGGTGTGCCCTGCGTTTGCCTTCTGCGCTAGGCTTGGGCCGTGGGCTGCAGCAGCCCTGTGTGAGAGTAAGGAGCCGTGGGAAGGGAGGGTGCAGAGGAGTTAACCAGGCCTGGTGTGAGGCGCGGAGGAGGGGCAGGCCGAGTGTGCAGGCTGAGAACAGCATGTACGCGCGGCCCGCATCAGGAAGGCGCTTGGCACGTTCTGGGAACAGAGGAGCCAGGGACGCCCCGGGGTAGCAGGCCGGGGGAGGGGCAGGGGCAGGGCCTGGCCCGGAAAGATCAGCTCCCCTCTCTCCCCGTCTGGGCCACTTGCTTTATTTCTGTTTTATTTCCTGCACGCCCATCTTGTGTGCCCAGCTGCTTTCTCAGGCTTCTCTCTGGTTCTGCCGCTTTCTGCCTGCCTGAGGACATCCCAGCCCCTCCCATGGCCCCATGTCTCCCAGCTACACTGCCGGAAGCCCTCACCTTCAGGGCTCATCCTCGACTTTAC